TGCCAATAGTGAGAGGATGAGATAGATGCGTACTACCAAGAAAACTGAGATATTAAAAAAAAAAAAAAAAAACTGAGATAGATGAGAGAAGAATATAGCTCCTCATCAGGAGGATACGTCAGGGGGGAGACCGATTCAACACTCGGCTACTTCCAGCAGTCGAATGCAGCAGAGGCTGTCGGAGGAATATTCTCGGCAGAATCCAAGTACCAAGGCTGTACCCTCATCGAGTGGAACTTGCCAGGCGAGAACAGAGACAACGCCTACTAAACAGTGGAGGAGGATAGGACCCGACAGTGCGGAGGTCCGAATCGAGGAGGAAGTGGAAGGGGAACATTCTGCAGCATCTCTTCCTATGTCGGACGGTCAAGGGGATAAGGGGCAGCGCTCTGCAACGATGAAGCGTAACCGTAGACAGCTAACGGCATCCAGGACGGCAGACCGTGAATAGGAGAAGCACCTCCTTCCGTTACTTTTCGTAGCAACTGTGGAGGGAACCTTCGCTCTTGCATGGTCGACGGCGCCAGGTCAGACAGTTCTTCCATCCCAACCGATTGCTAACCCTCCGATGCCGCTGGACATAATTAATCTCACACGCAGGATCTACGGTAGTGATATTGCGGTAAGGAATATTCCTGACATCCCTACCCCACGCTGCTTTGTTGAGAATTCTGAGCGTAGGGTTAAGTTATTCACTCCGTTGTTGGATGCTAGATTGACACTGGAGTCCTTGCTCCGTTTGGTAGGACAGAGCCTCACACTCTTTCCTATGGAATGGTTTATCTTCCCCGATCATCCGGAGTTGGTAAAATTCAAAGTGTTAGGTGATTGTGACGCTAGTTGTTTGGGAAAGCTTTCGCAGAAAATACCTAAGCTGAGAGCGCTCCACTCCCCGTTTTTTCAGTCCTATCTGACCCAGAAATGGGACACCGGTTTAACACATCCCAGTCTCTCGGTTCCATCCATCCGCATCCAATCACGGCAACAACAGTCTGGAGATCATGATCCAAATTAAAATTGCGTCCTGGAATATCCGGGGGCTGGGAGATACGGGTGGTCATAACAAAAGGGCTAAGGTAAAGTCATGGTTGCACTCTGAACGTATTTCAGTCTTATGCTTGCAGGAGACCAAATTAGACTATGGAAAATACGGTGGCGGAATTGGAACTGTGCGACCCATACAGACTGACAAATCCTTCGGACCCGAGCTATACTTGCTACTCTTCCCAGCTGTTGGCTGGCAGGAGGGTGGTCCCGCGTAGAATAGACTTCTTCTTGATTAGTGCAAGAATCTGGGAAAATACGGTGAGCATAATTGCACAACCACACCCCCTGTCTGATCACAGCCCAGTCATCTTAACTTCTTATGGGGTGAAGCACCCGATAGGGGCAAAGGAATCTTTAGGCTCAACAGTGAGGTTCTCAAAGAACAGGGTGTTCAGGATTGGGCCAAAGATCAATTAAATGGGTGGCAAGAGAAGAAACACCTGTTCGACTCAGAGAACAAATGGTGGGACGCATGTCTCTTTTTCATTTCAGATATGCTTAACGTTTTTTCTCGAGTAAGGGCCCTGCATGATAACAAGGAAGAGGCGAAGGTGAGAAAGTTAGTTGAGGAAGCGGAAGTAGTTATTGCAGCGTTGCCACAAAAGTCAATTGATGTACATTGGTGGAGTATAGTGCGGGCAGAGAGGCTACAGAAATGGGATGACCTGCAGAATGAGAAGTCAAATAGGTGGAAAGAAATACTGACAATCAAAGGTATCACTGTCGGAGATCGTATGACTAAAGCGACTTTTCAGAGGTTACTCACACGTTATTATCATGAGGAGATGAAATCATTGGAACATTCATTCACCGCTCAGGCTCCGGTGGCCTCCACATCAACGGAAATGTGTACATACACTTAGCTCTATTTCTGTGATATCCTCACATCGAGACGTAGTCCGGCAGAACTGGAAATTGGTCAGCAGCACCTTACGGACCTGTGGAATGCAGTGGACGTCAAGCTTACCCAATCAGGCCGATTGGATCTGGACCGACCCCTCTCGGAAATAGAGGTAAAACTAGCTCTAAAAGCGATGGCTAAGGGCAAAGCTCCGGGTTCGGACGGCCTAACAGTTGAATTCTTCACCCAATTTTAGTCTGAGTGTGGTACTACCCTATTGGACACGTACAACAATGTACTTACCGGGGGGGACTTAACACCTTCTATGTGTCATGGCATTATTACGCTGCTGTACAAAAAGGGAGATCGGGATGAGATTCGTAACTGGAGGCCTATATCTAGATTGAATGTCTCCTACAAAATCTTGGCAAAATCGCTTGCCAGACGCCTGTCTAGGTATTTACCAGAATTGGTGGCACAGGATCAGGCAGCCTTCGTGCAAGGTAGGTCCATCTTCGAAAACATTGTGACGGCGATTGAAACGTTGGAGATTGTTGAGAAGGAAGATAGACCTCTAGCCATTCTTTTGTTGGATCTAGAGAAAGCCTACGATAGGGTTAATTGGAGTTTCGTCCTCACCACGTTAAGAAAGATGGGATTTGGAGAGATCTTCTGTAGATGGGTAACTGTTCTGTGTACGCATTCCACAGCGGCGATAATGGTTAATGGGTTCTTATCTGATTCATTTCCCCTCACTCGCTCTTTGCGGCAGGGATGTCCTTTAGCACCGCTTCTTTTTGTGATTCAATTGGAGGTGATTTTGTGTAACATTAGAGCAAAACCAGAAATAGTTAGGTTAGCACTAAGGTCTGGAGAATGCAAAGCTAAAGCACTCACGGACGACTCGTTTGCCATCTGCGAAAACTCCACAACTTCTTTGGATGCGTTTAAATTTCTTCTGGATGAATATTCTTTATTTTTTGAAGCTGTTGTGAATTGGAAGAAGTCTGTCTATTTTTTACCACAGAACATGTCCCTGCAAACAGACTGGGGCATGCGACGAATAGAGAACGGGGAAGCGGAACGTTTTCTTGGAGTGATGATTTCTCTTGGGTCTAGCCAAGATGCTCAGGAGGTGACTTTACATAACAAATTGATGGAACGAATCAAGTCCTGGGGTTCGGCGCCACATTTGTCTCTGTTCGGGCGTGCGCTGGTAGTGAACTCATCTATTCTCTCTCTTCTCAGTTTTGTAGGATCGGTCCGAAAGTTTTCTCCCTCGTTACTGACATTGACTAAAAGGATCTCTGCAAAATTTATATGGAAGCCCAGAGCCGAGACAAAGCAAGGTTTTCTCTCGAAGGTGGCTTGGGATTTAATTTCCCAACCGCGTGAGAGGGGAGATTTAGGCATAGCAGACCCACACAGAAGGAACTGTCTTCAGCTTGCTACCTGGATAGTAAAGGCCTCTACCTGCGATAACAACAGTGGCAGCTCGAAGCACTGGGTCGAAATGGGGGAGCACATCTTGGCCTCATAATGGGATCTCTCTCACGAGGAGGATGTATGGTTATGTCTTCAGTTAGATTCATTTGTTGATAGGAGAGTTCGATCCAAGTTCTGGTCAGATGTGATTTATGCCTGGAAAAAAGTGAAACCCTTAGAATGGGCGCAGCCTATTACAAAAGTAGAGGTTCTCAATCAACCGTTGTTTGATAACCCTCACATTCGGAACTC